TCCATCCATTCATCTATTCATCCATTTTCATCTGCTTATCCGGAGTCGTGTCGCGGGGGCAGTAGCCTAAGGCGAGAGGCCCAGACTTCCCTCTCCCCAGCCACTTGGACCAGCTCCTCCGGGGGAATCCCAAGGCGTTCCCTGGTCAGGTGAGAGACATAGACCCTCCACCGTGTCCTGGGTCTACCTTTAGGTCTCCTCCCAGTTGGAAGTGCCCGGAAAACCTCACCAGGGAGGCGTCCAGGAGGCATCCTGACCAGAGCCACCTCAACTGGCTCCTCTCGATGTGGAGGAGCAGCGGGTCTACTCCGAGCCCCTCCCGGATGACCGAGTTTCTCAGCCCCACTGGGCTCTCCCTTAGAGATGTATGAGTCATATCTATCTGTCTATCTATCTATCTATCTATCTATCTATCTATCTATCTGTCTGTCTGTCAGGGGCGTGTCCAGGGAGTGGCCTGGGGTGGCACATGCCACCCTTAGAATCTGATTGGCCACCCCCAGGTGCCACCCTACTAAGTTCCAGTTTAAACTGACTTTACATTGTCGACAAAAGGCTTGGGTTGTAAACTCCAAAAATAGTGTGTGGTAGCATGCACCTTTAACATCGTCTTCTAGCCCAGGCCTACAGAACATTTCTGTAGTATTAATATTATTTATTATTTTTTCATATTCACATAAATAGTATTTAGAGTCCCACTCATCTCCAGTTGGTGGCAGTAATGCAACAAGAAGTGACTTGCTAACCACCACAAAACTAGAAGATGAATAGAAAAAAATGGTGATTGTGCAATGTGAAACTCCAAAATTCACTAGAAAGTAAATAAATAAATAAACGATTTGTGTAAATAAATAAATAAAAATAACCATTGGTGCCACCCATGCATAAACAAGTGCCCCACATGGGCCACCCCATTTTAAAAGTCCTGGACACGGCTCTGCTGTCTGTCTGTCTGTCTGTCTGTCTATCTATCTATCTATCTATCTGTATGTATAAATATATAGATAGATATAGATCTATCTATAGATATATAGGTATAGATAGAGATATAGATATAGATGTAGATATAGATATAGATATAGATATAGATATAGGCCGTGTTCGAGTTGAGCTGCGCCTCGCCTGGAAAACAGACGAGAGGAGACGGAAGCAGCAGGGGGAGTGGCTGAAAGCCGGCGTTTAGTCGGACACAATTTGTGGGCTCAACAATGCCTCTTGTACATCATCTTATTATGTTTTGGGAGACGCCCGTGTCATTTCCTGTCAAACAATAACTGGCTGGTTGAATAAAGGTAACTAAGTCTAAATTTGCCAGGGGTAGGAATAATTGTGGGTAGCACTGTACGTATAAACATCTGCGCAGAGTATGGACTGGAAGCCCCAAGGTCAAAGTGGTAACACCCCCTAGTGGTCGAGAACAAGAGAGCCAAGCTCCTGTTGGACTTCCAGATCCAGACTGACAAAATGGTGATGGAGAACCAACCGGACCTTGTGGTGGTGGACAAACAACGGAGGACAGCTGGAGTGGTTGATGTGGCGATAGCAAGTGATGCTACATCAGGAAAAAGGAACATGAGAAACTAGAGAAGCACCAGGGCTTCAGAGAAGAACTTGAGAAAACTTGGAGAGTGAAGACATCTGCGGTGCCCGTGGTCATCGGGGCACTCGGGGCAGTGCCCTCCAGACTGGAGGAGTGGCTAAAGCAGATCCCAGGAAAAACATCAGACATCCCAGTCCAGAAAAGTGCAGTTCTAGGAACAGCTAAGATACTGCAGAACCCGCAAGCTCCCAGACCTCTGGTAGAGGACGCGAGCTTGGGAGCAGGAGAGCACCTGCGCAGGGTCAGATGGGATTCTTTTTATTTTAGACATAGAAAATTCTGTGTGCTTTCCAGGAGCAAGAGCAGCAAGAACATTAAAGTCAACGGAACAGCATACGACCCGATTTTAAAGTTAAGAGTTGGGGCACATCTGAGGTCATGAGGAAGCTGATTTCAGCTAAATGGAAAGGAAGCGTGAATCCTGATCTGATGTGTAATTTGCATGAAATTTCAAAATAAAAGGGTGATTTTGTGGTTCAGTGCTGAGAAAAGAGCAGGAATCTGGAGAATCATTGAGCAAAACCACGTCGAAAGATCACCGGTTTGGTTGTAGGCCTGGAAGGAAAACAGAAATAAACGGCTGCAGAACCGTTGCTGCAGGCCTGATCTCCTGTAGATCTACAGCCTGTGGCTCTGAGGATTCATGCAAAAAGTAAAAACCCCACAGGAACCAACCCGGTAGCAGATGGTGACACCAAACAACACCTCCGACGCTCTGACGAGCCTGTCATGCCAAAAGGTAAAAACAGAGTTTTTACGACTCTGAGAGCTAAAAAATGGAACCAGAAGAGGACATCCTGTGATGGTTCTGGCTCAGATGAGGACCAGCATCTAGCAGAGCCAGAAGGCCACCAGCAGTTCCAGCAGAACCCTCTGGGGGTGAAGCCTCTGCTGCTCCTTCTTCGTGGGTCAGAGTGTTTGTGAGCCACCTGCTCTGCCCTGCAGGGGCGTTTTCAGCTCTGGACACATTTACCTGTAATGTCACGGTTTATCCAGCAGATGGCAGCAAACAGATGTCCAAGTGGAACCACTCGGGTTAAAGGTCAGGTTCGTGTTCGACCCTCTGAGGTCCACACAAGGGAAAAATGCTTAATGAGGATAATTACTCATTTTTATTTTAATGTAAAGAGATAAAATGTGTGACTACTTTTTCAAACATCTCTGTATATTTCAGATTTTTTTCGGTTTAGTAGATTTTGTTCCTCGTTAAGTTCAAAGCATCTTTTATTAAAGAGGAAAATAATATTTGCTCTGCTAAACGGTTCACCTGCCACTTCAGCGGGTTTAAATCTCACTTTTATGAGTATTTTATGCAGGGGGAAATTAAATATTCCTAAATGGTGTAATTTCAATTATGAGATGATTAAAGTAAAAGTTTAAAGAATCCACGATTTTCCATATGACTAAAAATGGAAAATCATTTTAAAGGAGACATATGTTTATTTTTAAGATGTAAACATGTTTTGTATTTTTTTTTATGGTTTGATTTAAAACTTGTTTCGTGTCAACTTTGTCAAGTAATGGTTTGTTTGTTTGAAAGTTGTTAATAAAGATTTTTTTAATAGCAGAAACACGTCCGGCATACGATGCGGTTGATGATGCAATAGTCCCTGTCCCAATTCAGCAATTCTGTGCACACTTGTAAGAAAACATTTTATTTATATAATAGATTTATATTATATAAATAATATAATATTTATGTTATATTATGGCTGCATGGTGGGGCAGTGGTTAGCACTGTTGCCTCGCAGCACGAAGGTCAAAGGTTCAAAACTCGCCTTTCTGCGTGGAGTTGCGTGTTCTCCCCATGCGTGTGTGGGTTTCCTCCGGGTACTCCGGTTTCCCCCACAGATCACAACATGCCCTATAGGTTATAAATTGTACGCCGCTTTGGATAAAAGCGTCTGCTAAATAAATAAACATAAACATAGATTTTATTCATCCAGAGGAGATGGCGCTACCAGTTTCAGTACACACAATTCTGAGATCAGACATACATACATATAGACACATGACAAGAATTGGTGACTGTGGTCATTCGTAACCCGAGTCGCGCTACCTTAATAGAGATCAGAGGGTTTACATGAGGATTGGTTCAGGTGGAGGGAAAAAAGGCACTTCAGAGTCACCCTCCACAGGGAGGGCAGCTTTGCTATGCAAAAAACACCTCAGACAGAAATGCAGCAGACTTCAGACATCACACAACATAAGTGTCCACTAGGTGGGGAGGTAGGGTAGATGACTCTCCAAACATCCGTGCATGCAGCCACGATAAGCAGCGCTCGTCACCTCCGTCTGGATGGGGGGGGGATCGTTGGGTTTACAGAGCACAGTGACTCCTGGAACGATTCGGTGGCCTTCACCGGTCGCAGTCCCGCCCAGGCTGGGATAGGGAGACAGAGTTACTATGGTAACGGCAGCATTCCACATTTCTTCTGAGGGGCAGTTATCGCTTCAGCCTCACAGGCTCAAGGGCACCAGATTCAGATAAGAACTTGTTTTGGGGGCCAGACAGAGATAATTTCCTCTCTGTCTTAAAAGTTCCGTTAGTCCTCAACCTCTCAAAATCCAATTATGGCGTAGTTAATCTATCCCAATCCGTGCTGATCCGTCAACTCGCTCCTTGATCGAATCCACCTTCTGTGCCAGAGTCTGAATCTCAGCCAAAGTTCCCAGCTTACGACTCATCTCGACGATTATATGAATTTGTGCGTTCACAGCATGGTGTAATCCATCCCTGAGCTCCGGGATTGAGCCAATATTCCTCGAAAGCTCATTAATTTTCCAGTAAGCCAGATAACCACTCAGGCCAAAAAGCAGGAGTCCCGACACCAACACCACGAATATCCAGACGTCTTTAGAATCCTCTACAGACAGTTGAGAGAGGTTCCACTGTTTCCAGGAGTCCATGATGTGTCCAGCTGGCTCTGTCCCAGAGGGGCACCTGGGAGCCCCTTCTCCCGTTCCCACCGTTGAAAAATGTTGTCAATCGCGTTGAGAGACCAGCTGACCAGGTCCATTTTAGTAATTTCCAGTTTCCAGAAAAAATGCAGAAGCGCCGTCCACCCAGAGACAGACAAAGAGCTTTGGGATAAGATAGGGAGGAGAGGAGGGAAAAGGCGTCTGTACACCAAGAGCCGGAAGAAGAAGTGGCAGCACAGAAGGATGCAAAGGTGAGTTTGGCATCATTTGTTCCCTTAAATGTTTTTCTTCTACATGACATTTTACATTTTTATAACAAATATTTATTTTCCACATATTCCGAAGTTCTTCCTTCATTTTGTTTAAATTCAAAAGAACTGTGGTTCAGTTCTTGCTGCAAATGTTAACTGTATAATATTTTAGTTTGGAGCTTAAGGATTATTACTTGTCTCAGTAAAGAAAAACAAAACAACACGTGTCATTTCTGCTGCTCACACACGACGTGCAGCTGCTTTAATATTGCTCATGCCAGAGAGGCGCCAACAAAGCGGCGCGTCAACGAAACACAACATGATCTTAAAAAAAAGCTTCTTCCCAGTGAGATAAAGCACCGCAGATACGGGCAGTGAGGTTTCTAACCCACGTTGAGAAGGAAACGGGATGTGCGTTTGTTATTTTTGCTTCAGAAAGACTCAAAAATGACCAGGAAACGTGTTTAAATCGCCTTTAAAGTGAATAACAGCAGCTAATGTCGTCCAAATGCAGAAATCTACTGTTTAAAGAATGCTGTAAGGTTTATAACATCACATCTGTGGAAACCAAGTTTGAGTCCATATACGTTTAAGTCCACGTTTAAGCTAAAAACAATTTCATTTGTGTATTTAAAAATGTTAATTTGTTAAAAGAAGTCTTGTTTTGGTCAATTCATGTAGGGTAGAAAATAGGTTACTGTCACTTTAAGAAAAAGCCGGACACACGGGGTGGGGCTGTACAAACCAGTTACGTCCAGCTGAGCGTGGTGAGGAGTAGAGCAGTATGGTTTCTTACCGCAGCGTTGTTTTATTTAAACCGAGGAAAACTTCATTTTGGACACTCCTGTAATTTTCTGTTATCTTTTCATCGGAGTGCTGTGGAAGCTTGTCACCTCATCATTAAACATGCACGAGTAAACCAAGGCCAACGAAGCCTCACCAGCCACAACATCTGTGATTTAACACAACAGCAACACTCAGACTAGCTGTTAGCTCATCAATCCCCAGTGACGTAAACTATTTCTCTGAACAGAGGATGTTCAGGAGGCCACGACGAGTAGGAAGGGACTTATTTATAACTTACACACAGAAACACGTCAGAATCACCAGAATATCCCTTTGTTAGCTCAAAATGTTTCCCCCGCAAGGAATCCTCGATCATCCTGTTGAGCATAAAGGTCCAAATGCAGATGAGATTATTTAGTCCAGGGATTACAAGCCTGGATGACAGCAGATTAAATGTGCTTGTGCCTCTGTGGCGCGCTGATTAATTACAGTCAGCTGCTCGGTGGGGTGGGGTGGGGGGGGGGGGGGGGGGGGCAAACATTAAGTTCACAAAACTCGACCTTTCGGGTCAAAGTGATGCCATTTTTACACCAAACCAAAAGGACGGGTGACGTTTCTGGGAGGTGACCTCCTTCAAATCAGCACTTGTGCACTAAGTGTGAAAGCTTAGAGGTTATCCTGCAGCCAACAGCGCCATCTAGTGGCTTAGCCGTTAACACACCCTTCCCGCTGCCTCGCTAGCGACCCGTTAGAGGAGAAAAACAGCAGGAGTGAAGAAACAGACGCAGAACCACCATGTTTGAAACACGCTGGACCTAGTTTCCACTCATTTCTTCTCCAGTAAGACATGACATTTGGTAACTAAATCATCTTCATATGTTTACAGGAACTCTTTGTGGTTCCGGTCGTGCGGCTGGGATGGGTCACAAACATCTCTTACCTTCTGCTCTTACTCATCTCGTAAAACAACAAACGACCTGAGGAGGGCGAGGTAAAACGAAGCACTAGAACGAACCAAGACGTCACCGTGATGCCTTCATCGGCCCAGATTTCACAATAAAATGTTCCTTCATCATGATGGTGAAACAAAGGCCCTGTACACGTATTTTAGGAACACAAACACATTCAAGTCCCGCCTGCAGCCCACGTCCCTCTATCAGAGTCTGAGTGTTTGTTCATCTGGGCTTCGGCGTTCTGATGGAGGCGGACAGCCACCACAGAAGAAGAGAAGCCTCTCGGTCCGTTTATCTACAGCAGGTCCCCGGCCTGTTGGCTCTACATGACGCTGCACTTCCCCTTCAGCTTGTCGGCTCGTTTCTGCTTCCCCGAGCGTTTTCCGTCGATGCTCAGGCTCATGTCCCTTTTCTTCTCCAGCGCCAGCAGCTCCTGGAACAGTTCCTTCACATTGGAGTTTGTTTTAGCCGACGTCTCCATGAAGGCACACTTCCAGGCGCTGGCCTGAGCGGCGCCCACCTTCGTGTCCACCTCACGCTGAGCCGTCTCGTCGCTCTTGTTGCCCACGAGCATGATGGGAATCGACTCCACGCTGCTCTTGATGGACAGAACCTGCAAGGGTGAGAGAGGGTCCACCGGTCGGGCGTGTGAGTCAGGTGAAACAATCCAGAAATGTTCTGAATGTTTTGGCTCTTCTCTGAAAGCAGCTGCGCGTTCATCCGAACCAACAAACACTCAGGATAATCTGCCGCTAACGGGTTTAACTGACGGGAAACCAGTGGGTTTGTTTCAGGTCTCGTCCATCAGTGACACAGAAAACAAACGACCCGTAGCCTCTAAACGTGCATTTAAAGGGTCTTTAAAGGACCTGCAGAGACGTGCGTCTGACCTGTTGGTAGATGGGTTTGAGCTCCTCCAGCGACTGACGGCTGGTGATGGAGTAGACCAGAATGAAGGCGTGGCCTTTGGAGATAGACAGGCGCTGCATGGCGGGAAACTGGTGACTTCCTGTTGTGTCCGTGATCTGCAGCGTGCAGACGCTTTTGTCACAGCTGATCACCTGCAGGGGCGACAGGCACGGATTTATCAGCCGGTATCGACCGGTTCAGGGTTTTCACTTGACTGTCACTCCTTACTCAGCAGAGACTTTAACAGAAAACTTCCTACGTGGTCTTAAAATAAATGTGTTTGTTAGTAAAACTTGAAAAAAAAAAGCAATGACGTGGTTCTCTCAGATTTGTCTAAACCTCAGCCAATGGCACGGCTCGGACGGAGAGCAACCACCGGACCATCCGGCGGTCGCACTTTCTCGCTTCCCCGGGTCCTCCGCTGGTGTATTTGTCTAGTAGAGCTGCAGACATGTGGTCATCATTTTAGTGTTTTGGTGCATTAATGAAAACATAAATATTCGTCGGTGTGGTGACCTCCTCGGGATAAAACTCAGCTCTGTGTTGAATTTAAATCAGCTGCAGCTATTGGCTTAAAACAGCCTGGCGTGACGTCTTTGAGTCTCCACCACGATTCCAGCGCAGCCGCTCACGAGCCGATACGAAACCATCCGGCTCAGAGATGCTCGCCTCTGTCAAAAAAACCTCTTTCTTCTGGTGGAAGATGTGGAGAGACAACACTCTGCTGCCCATCTCCGGCTGACTTCGGGCAAACAGCCGGGGTACACCACCCTGCTAACGTTGTTTTTGCCCGTTTACGCTCTTCATGCTGGCCATGAACCCCGTTCTCTTTCATGTCTCTGCAGAACTTTTGCTCACTGTGGTTCTCCGCATGTTTGAAAAAGTTATTGCAATGTGAGACAGAGCAGTCAGGCATGGACTGTAGGCAACGCTGGACTGACCATAGGGCATAGCGGGCAACTGCCCGCTGGGCCGACCCTTTCATCTTTAATGGGCCGGTGTGTCTGTTATTTTATTTGTTTATTTATTTCTGGCCTCTAGTTGTTGCGGACAGTCGAACAGAAGTCTTTTCTGGCCGTTTGTTTGCTGTTAGCATCAACCGGCATGGCCGTGTTTGTTTCGCTTAGCCGGGCTCTTGATACTATTGTCAACACTAAGTCCCACCCCCTACAGCACAGTAGTGACACGCGATTGGTCCAACCTATTCGGGGCCGGAGGTCGGACGGTTTGAACTGGAGCGGTTAAAGATGGATCCTCCTGAGTTTGAAAAACTCCAAATCTCGCGAGAATTCATTTTGCAGTACAAGGTTGCAGACTAAGACTAAAGTCTTAACCCCACTGGGTTTTTTTTTACTTCGGGGGGGGGGGGGGGGGGGGGGGGTGTTAACATTGTCCGTTTCTAAACTAATGAGAAGAAACTAAAAAGTCACAGTCCATTTTTATTACCATGAAGAGATAAATGAGAGCAAATGAAGCTATGATGATGTAAATGTAATAGCTGCATAAGATGACTCAGCATTTTTACAGCTACTTGTTCTTACTCTAAATGTTACCAAAGACACAACCTGCAGCCCCCACCTGTCTGTAGGTGTCCTCCACCGTGGGGATGTAGGTGTCTCTGAAGGTGCCTTTAACAAACCGAAGCACGAGTGAGCTCTTCCCCACACCGCCAGCTCCAAACACCACCACCCGGTAGTCGTTACTCTGCTCGGGCATTCTGGAAGCTGGAGTCCACCTTCTCTCTGGGATCAGTCACCTAATGCTGGAGACAGAACCAGAATCAAAGGCCTGGCCTAAGAAATAACAGTTTCGGTGTTTCCCCCACATTAGGGTGGCCATGTGCCTACTGATGACGTCACACTATGGCAACACCACACAAACCACGATGGGACCCTTTTTTTCCAGGTGAAGAGCTAAAGTTAATATCAGACTCTGCCAACAGCAGCGCTCTAAAACAATTCATTTGTAAATCTTTTGCATATTTATTGCTAAATATCATTTTTCTGCTGCTTTAGTGCTACAACAACGTTTATTAATAAAAACTTATTATACCTTGTGTTTTACTACAGCATCGGTAAGCTTACTGTGCACAGATTATTAAAGGGACTTTATGGACTTTTGAATTTTTATGCTCGCGATTGCCCCCTCAGGCCAAAAGCGTAACGGCAGCTTCAATACTAGGCTCGTGCACGAGGCGCATGCTGTACGTGCACACGCCTTAACGAGAATAACAGCTGAGACAGTCCCGTGTGTGTGTGTGTGTGTGTGTGTGTGTGAGTGTGTGTGTGTGTGTGTGTGTGTGTGTGTGTGTGTGTGTGTGTGTGTGTGTGTGTGTGTGTGTGTGTGTGTGTGTGTGTGTGTGTGTGTGTGTGTGTGGCCCGGAGGACAGAGGACAGGAGAACGTGCAGCTAATTAATTAAATAATGTGGTTCTGTGGCTTTCTCTTCAGCACAGCGACAAAGGTTGATGATGGGTCAGTCCTCCTGCATGCTCAGATCATTCCCTTCCCTTGCTTGAAAAATTGTTCCAAAATGAAAGTTGAACCCACATCTTTTTTATCTGTGAATTCAATGCCGTTCGGTGAGTCTCAAATAAAAATTTGGGCGTCTTACTGTAAAAAATATACCATTAATGTAAAAAAGAAACTAAATAAAATATGTTCACATCCAGAATCAAACCGAAGTTTTCTGCATGGGAGTCAGACATCTAACAAGGTGAGCTACACTCTAGTAACATTCACAGTATCTGTAACTTTTATATCCTTGATGACAGCTGAAACAACGTCAAACCAAAGAACGGTTCGGAGCGAAAATGGCTATTTTGTTGCTAATTAGCAGGAAATATCTAGAAGAAAGTTCTACAGAAAGTAGCTAAGGGTCCTCAGAAATGTAGCTAGCTTTGTCACTAGGCGTTAGGAACAGCGACAAAGTGGCACTGCCTCTCTCTCTGCTGCTAAAGCTACAGATAGCAAATGCTACGGGCGATGCCTGAGCGTGAACGCGCATGAAGCAGCCTGCTCGACCCGAGCATCTCTCTTTTTCTGTGATTTTACAGAAAAACAGGCAATCACAGTAAAAATGCCAGGGCTCATTCTACAGGACCAGGGCATAGAGCTCCAGACGTCACGTGACTCTCAGAGAGTAGACGCCATGTTGGCAGGCAACAACTGTAAACAAATTGAACGGGATCGGCTTGGATTTTTCTCCGTCGGAGTTTACTTCACACTTTAAAACCGAAGAAATCGTTTTATATAGTCAGAAACATCTCCGACCCTTACCATGCCCCTGTCTGAGATCTGTCTCGGTGAGACAGATAATAGCAATCCAAAGTGCTTTTTATGTGTGATCTGACAATTGATCAACCATTGCTTAAAAATGAAATACAGCTTAGCCGGTTAATTGCTGTGATCATAAAACACGTAAACGGCAGCACGCAGAACTCACGAGGCAACGTTTTACGTGATGTTTACTTGTTGCTGTGAGTAATAACAGAAAAAGCCCCGCCAAAATAAGTTTAGGAAGCCCACTAAGAATCGTAATAAAAGCATTTAAAATAAATACCATACACAGTTGAGGAAACGTTGGTTTAAGTTCCTGATATGAAGCGGTCGCTGCATATGTGAAAACCTTTACTCTTGGGGTCCCAGTTTCATTTTAGCCCGGTCACTAGCGCGTTTTATTACAATGATCCAACGTTTGCGGCGCTCCGGAACTTTGGGAATCCTGTAGGTGGCTCATTCCTTATGTCGTCCGCGTCTGTTCTGCATCCTGGGGCACAACAGGAATCTACCATATTTCCCGTCTGATTGACTTTTCTGGCAATAACAAATAGCCCAGCCGCGGGCTTCTGCCTGCCAAGATGACGCCGTTTCGATTTGAACTGTTGCATGCCAGGAGAAGTGACGTCAACTCCTGGAGCTCTATTGCAGGAGAATGTATGAAGAAGAAATTTATTATTTCTATACATGTTTTGGCTGTCAAACTTCCTTAGAGTCCCTTTAAGGATGCTTTTTTCAGCTGTGAGATCAGACCGTAGGGTCCATTTTGCCTCCGCCCCCAGAATGCATTGACACGGCCCTGGCTGTGTGACTGAATTTTGAATGTGACCTGAATTGTATCAGATGTATAAATATTACACGTGTATAACTTATTGTTTTATAAAACATGTAGTGGAGATAAATCTACCTACAGTTTACATTCAAGTTTTGTTTTCTTGTTTTTATTTAACTATTTTCCTGTCCTGTCTGTCTCTCATCTTCCTGCATCTCCTCTAAACTCTCCAGAAAAGCTGCTGCCTGGATTCTTACTTTTTCACCTCATCAGTTACTTTTGAGCAGATCAAAGGGATCTCCTGACCGCAAAGCGGAGAGCGCGTTTCGATGCTGCGTCAGTGAGGTGAAATCACCGCAGCACACGATGAGCAGAGCGCGTCAGGAACGATTAAAAGACAGAATACCAGAGGATATAAACAGATATGAACGATCATGTGTTAATAATAAGGTTTTGTTGCGTCACCTTGAGAATGTATCGTACACCAGGCACACCAACGACCAGCGCTCTGCGTCCTCTCCGCTCAGCAGAACCCCGCTACACTGAGAGTCCATAAATATTGAATGGTAAATGGTAAATGGACTGTATTTGATTTAGCACCTTCTAGAGTCCTGGAACCCCCCAAGGCGCTTTACAACACAATCAGTCATTCGTCCATCCATTCACACATTCACACACTGGTGGGGATGAGCTACGATGTAGCCACAGCTGCACTGGGGCGCACTGGCAAAGGCGAGGCTGCCGAGCACTGGCGCCACCGGTCCCTCCGACCACCACCAGCAGGCAACGTGGGTTAAGTGTCTCGCCCAAGGACACGACGCCTTTGCCGGGGCTCGAACCTGCAACCTTCCGATTACGGTGCGAGCTCTTAACTCCTGTGCCACCGTTGTTGTAATATAGGCAGGAACTGGATCTTTCCCTGAATGATATCTAGCCCCCATAACTCGATCCCTGCTCCTGGATATTATAACCGGACATTTTGATCCATGTAGGAAATCATCAGCAAAAAAAAGTTGATTGGGGGGTGACTTGCTCTTTAAAGATAAAGAGCTGAGGAACATTTCACACAAAAGAAACTTAATTTGTCACCATATCTGCAGTGTTCTCAAGTATAAATGTATGTTCTGAGTTAATCTCGGGGAAAAAAAGCTCTGGCGCTCTTGTTTCAAAACCTGGAAGTGAGCTAGAGGAGAAGGTGGCTTCAGACTGCAGGTTTGGGGGTCTTACTTCCTGAAATTTGAACATCTTTCCTCTGATTGGATAACAGCAGCATGACTCTACCACTGACTCTGTTTGCTCTGCAACGTTGATGTTTTATCTCCACAAATAACACAAAACTGGAGGAGTTCTGCTGTGTGGTGGAGTTGCTAATGCTAACAATTAGCTTCTAATAGCTGAGACGTTCTCTGCTGTTTCCTGGACGCTAAACCAACAACAGCCTTCCCCGTCGTGAGTCCAGATGGGTGAGTCCATGAATGTTGGTGACAGGGTGACGTAGATCTGTCAGGATTTTCTATCCTAGAGTTTCACCGTCTGTTTTCTATCAGAAGATACTGCAGGAGATAGGTGTAGGAGACTATCTTCATGTTCAGCCTGCATGTTAAACTCAGAGTGACAGATCATATTTCATAAACAATTAAATAACTGTTTTTCAGTGAACTTGGACTTTAATTAAACCAAATTGATGATTGTAATAATTGGAAACAACGCCAGCATTCTACTGTCCTTAAAACAAAGTATTTTTACTTTCTTTTTCAGTCAGAAACGTCATTTTTTACTATTATTTTTCCCGAAAGACTCGCAGAGACCTTCCTGTGATCGATTTGCTAGCGTGAATCTGTTTTGGTTCTTGTGGATGAAGCGACAACGAGCTGTTTTCTGTCCTCCCATCCTGACTGATGTCATCAACTCCTTATCTCCTCCACAGACTCACACCGCTGTTCGATCAGCTGCTCGTTAATCGTTCTCCACAGTGAAACACACACACACACACACACACACACACACACACACACACACACACACACACACACACACACACACACACACACACACACACACAGTTGTGGTGGTGATTGTCTGGTCACCATGGTGGCTGAGCTCAGGGGACAAAACGGCGTGAAAGAGCCAACTGCAGAGATTTATGCACTGAGACAGCAGTGCAAATATTTCATCACCAGAAGGTCAGTTGTCATGGTAACCCGCCTGCCCACATCATCTGATGTCACTTCCTGTGCAGAGGCAGCAGCAGGGAACACACTAGCAACTACACAAACAGCACTGGAGCTGTGCGTGGACACACTCACACACATTCAGACACACACACACACACACACTCATGCACACACACACACACACGTACACACATTCACACATGCACAAACACACACACACACACACACACACACAAAAACACACTCACACACATTCACACATGCACAAACACACACACACACACGTGCACACACACACACACACACACACACAAACACACTCACACACAATAAACAAACACACACATTCACACATGCACAAACACACACACACACACACAAAAACACACTCACACACATTCACACATGCACAAACACACACACACACACACACAAAAACACACTCACACACAATAAACAAACACACACACACATTCACACATGCACAAACACACAAACACACACACGTGCACACACACACACACACACACATACACACA